AATTACAAGACTCATGAGGCCCCTCTCCAAGGTCCTATAAACAGGAAGTAACTGCTGATGGAGAAGACTCTGGTGAAGCCACCTTCAAGTGATCTGAGAGCTACATGGATGCAGCTATGTAAGTTGTTACCCATACTGGAGTTAAGACTTTTTGTTGATGCAGGTACCTATCCCATCCATGTACCTATGAGTAATCCCTTACTAAAGCTGCTGTAACACTAACGAACTCATTAGCTCACCAAGCTACATGGATGGGTGGAATCATTTCTTTGATCTGTCATCTGTGCCTTCTCTGGCGTGAACAGACATTTGTTCATACCTCTTCAGGAAAAGTCACACAACATGAATGTGGGCCCATAATCTGGAATGTGAATATGACTGCTTGCTGGCACTTACTAGGGCCTTCTAGCTCTTCTAGAGTAGAAACAACTAATACAAACTCTTAACTGCTCTTTTCTAATGCTGCTGTTCTACAAAATTAAAGAATATAACAATATAGTATTTCTACTAACTAGAAAAATTCTTGTTCTTATTTCATTTGCCCTGTACACAGATCCATGTCCCAGCTTCCCATGAATGGTAAGATGGCTCAGAAACCCTGGGCATGCATCCCTACCCCTAACAGCCATGTGGCACTATTTCTCTAAGTCTCAGTCTTACTCTTGAAAAGTGGCTAACACTACCTATCTCACATGGTTATGTGGTAATTGAAGTAGTTCATGGAAATCTCTTGGCACAGAGTTTGGCACAGGGTAGGTGCTCAATATGGCCCATTCTTTTTCTTCAAGCTCTTTTAAATCTGCATGAGAGGAAGTCAAGATTTAATAATAAGCAAAGAATCCTTTTTATTTCTGCATAATTACAAAAAAATAGAATACACAGAGAAAATCTTGGTCTGTTTACTGTTCTATCACAGTAAAATGTTAATACAAAGCCCCAAATCAGTCCTTGCTTTGAAGGCACTATAAATTGAACAAGTCTTTTGAAACTGATGGAACTTGTGTGACTGATGATAGGTTCTTACTGAGGACAGAATCAGCAGAGTGCCTACTTACCGATAGCCAAGTGCCCTCCCCTTTCTGCAGCTGACAGAAGGAATTTGATTCATGTCCAGTGAGTAGAGCCCAAGTCAAATGAAAGCCTAACCCAAAGGCAAATAAATGAAAACAAATGCAATCCCTGGCTTTTGGCCTTCTAACAGTCATGATCATTGTGCTTCAAACCATGCTGAAAATTGATTTGTTTTTGGAGGTGTTGGGGATGGAATCCAAAGCCCTGTGCACCTTAGGCAAGTGCTCTACCACTGAACTGAAGCTCGCTCTCTATGCTGAAAATTTTTCTTAAAAATACTTTTGTCACTTCTTTTTCCTTCATAAAATATTTGAGTAACAAGGGAATAAGTGACTCAAAGTCTTTTACAAGATGCTTTAAGAAACAGAATAAAGTATAGAAAGGAGAAGACAGGAATAAAAGGAGAGGCCAAATAAGTAGTGCTACAGGAAGGGTAGTGTGAGCAGAAACTTACCTTCTGAATCCTACCACCTTTGTAGTCAGCATTAAGGGTTACGGTGGGTACAAAAATGTCATTAAGAGTAAAGCTAAATATGAAAATACAAAAACTCTAGCAAGTCAGTTCCTAATTAAAACGTTTTTCTACAGATATAAGCTCAGACCTAAGAAGCAATGCTAAGACCCAGTTCTGCCTCCAGAGACAGAAGACCTACACTCTACCCCCTTGCTCTTCCTTATAAAGATGTGGCATTCTGGATCAGTCACATCAGTTCATTTTGAAGGAGATGGTTTTTCTATCTAAAGGTAGAGAAGTGGATCATCTTTTGAGAAACTATCCAGATTTTTTATGAAGATAAGCTTAGCTTCAAGAGGAGCTTCATTGTGCCTTGTTTGAGTGTTTGGTTCACAATGCATCAGTGTGGGATGGTGAAAGGGGGCTTACTCACGAACTGAGACAGATTTTTTTTTCTTTTTTTTGGTCTTTTTGAGACAGGATTTTCCTATAGCCCCAGCTGGCCTGGACTCATTAAGACCAGGCTGGCCTCCATCTCATATCACAGAGATCCACCTGCCTCTATCCTGAGTGCTGGGATTAAAGGCATATACCACTGTGCCCAGACCCAAATACGTATTTTAAGAGATCAGTTATCTAGTTATTATGATCACATTGGTTAACTTCCAACACAAAGCAAGGCTTTCTATCTTTAATGGATATTACCCAGAATTTGTTACTGACCTAAATAATGTGCACCTATCTTTATGTATCAATTTAAAACAAAAACAAAATATCACAAATTAATCTGAAGCTGAAAAGGGAAGAGACATCAAACTTGACTTCTACCCTAAAGAAAGCAGCACTTATTATTTTGCTGCCAAATTCAACTCCTACAACAAACACAGTCAATGCTAATGTCAGACAGAGAACCATCAGACAAGACACTAACAAGAAGGTAGCCTGATCTCAGGGGCTGATACAGGTAGCTTAGAACAAGTCATTTCCTATGTTTTTGGTTATACAATGACTACACCCTGGCCATGGAGCATATGAGATGATAAAGGTTGGGGCCATTGTGGGCTGAGCTAGAGGAATCTGAGGAGGCAGGAGAATAATCCTGGTAGTCAGTCATTCTTGGTGTGGGCACAATTTATTGTCTGTAGCCCTTGGTGAGAGCCTTGTCCTCTAGATCAAGGACACATTGCCAGGCCTCTGTCTAGTAGTTTGTAGAAAAGGAGATCAATAAATGCATGCTATATTTTCTCTTTCCCTACCTTGGATATAGAACCAGTGAAATTAGTGAGCGCCAAGGGCTTCTTGATAACAAACCCTTCACAAGAGTGCTGGAAGAATTTTGTATTAGTATTCCAACCTCTTAGGGGAATCAGGTGGCTTCTCAGTAAAGCCTATCCTGTTTTACTGTTCAGTAGAGACAATGTACTTATCAGTAGAGACAAACCTCAACAGGGGAGGTGGGGCTAGGGAGCGCCAAGATTCAATCCATAAGCATCTACTGAACCTCAATTGTGTGTCCCATATTATCCTAGGCCCTGACCTTGAAGGCAATTAGGAAATAACAAGGACTTTCACAATGTTGGGAATTCACAGCAAAAACCTACTATATGGGTGTAATCTATGTGATCAAAATGAGAAAGTCTGTATGAAGAGAATTAAGAAAATCTTGGGGGGAAAAAACCCTCATCAGTATCTCGCCTTAAATTTGCCATAAAAGATGATGCATTCAGCTGTTTTTTTAAAATGCATTTAATTTCACAAAGAACTTTCAGACCCAAATGGTTATATTACCCACAAAAGATGAAATTAATAATATCCTAGTACTTGTAAGAAGTCTTGCAATTCTCAAACCTCTGCAATGTGGATGTCATGAAGTTTGGTCAAAGGCAGTAGTTCTCAAAGTTATGTATCCAGACCACACCTGTACTCAGGTGCAGCTCCCCCCTTCACAAAGACTGTGGGGCTGGGGCCCAGTGATCTGTGTTCAATAAGCCTTTCAGGTGTGTCAAGTTTGAAATCTACTGTATGGGCAAAGGAAGTAAATTTGAGGTTCCATGCAAAGGGAAAGGACTTTTGCAGTGATGCCCGCATTAAGGGGAGGAGAGTACAGGAAAAGCAAGGAGTCTAGAAATGTTTCATGTTTACATCTGTCAAACTGCAGTCACCTGTACAGTCTGTAATGCTGGAGTCCCTCCTATTGATGCAGATCTTGCTGTGCCCTTGAATGATTGTCTCCTGCAATTATATAGACAGTGTAAAAACGCTATAGTTGGAGGAGAAAGGAGGAGAGACTAGGAATCACAGAATCTGGTCCTAGCAAGAAAAAGATCCCCACTTTCCTCTAACCCTGTCACCCTCTTATGATAGACATGAACAGCAGAAAGTTAACCAAGAAGGCCAGCCACAAACTAACTGCTCCACTGTTCTGTACTTCACACCAATAAGCCTCCCATGGTCATCCTACCACCTCTCTGAGGTGGATTTCTGGATCAAGGCCTACCAGGCAGCTTGGAAGATAAGATGAAAAGAGATGAGGGATTCCATAACATTCCTTATTGTTAGGCCCAGGCTGTCACCTGCAGTGTGGACGAAGAATTAAGTAACAGGCTGAAGGGCCGGCTCTCAGCAAGACGCTGGATGTGGCCAAGGTGGTTCAAGAAGGGCCGGGCCTAGGTGCCTTCCTTCAGAGTGGACAGCACAGACAGCAAGACAGGGTTACCAAAGAGTAAGGTGTAAGAACAGCTACTGCTCATGTGCAAGAGAACCCAGGGCAGCCATGGCATAACAACTAAGAAACTGTTTTCGTCAAGTGAGACCAGTAGCATATACGTTTCAGCTGAAGGTTAAGGTCTCACGGAGAAGAAACTCCAGGGCTGGCTGTTAGGAGTTAAGATGAGGGAAGTTGCAAGCGGAGACCGTAGCCTCTAGCTTGAGTGTTCAGAGTGTGTCACCAGGGCAGGTGAAAAGCACACACCGGCCAGTCACGGAAGCCTAGGATGATCACAGGCGGTAAGACCACAGGTGAGTGTATCTGTATCTGTAGGAGGCAGGCTGCGTGGGGGAAGGAGACGGGAAGGCAAGCCTGATACCAGGGCAACCTGGGAGGCGGGGTAAGAAAAGGCCGGGGGTGGGGGCTGAAGTCCAGGAGTCTAGACCACTCCTCCCTCGGTTCCGGGGGACACCGAGCAGTGGGCATGGACGCGGGCGGTGGGATGAGCTGCATCTCCGCAGGCCTGAGGAGGGGGCGGAGGGCGGTGGCTGGGCAGAGAAGGAAGCCTGGAGCCACCCGCGACTCGGGACGTCCCGGCGGGGCTACAGGGGACGACGGGGCCACTCTGTCCCGGACCATCCCTTCCCCAGGACCGGTCTCTGGCGCCAGGGGGGCGGGGTCTGCGGCCGCTCCCGTCCTCCCCGCCCTGCCCGCGGGCGCTCCCAGCCCGGCCGCGCGCTGCCCGCTCCGCACGGCCCCAGCACTCACGTCTCCCGCGGCTGCGGCGGCTCCTCCCCTGCCGGGCTGCTTTCCCACCCACTCCCGGCCGAAACAGCGAGCAGGATCCGAGCCGCGCGGGGCCCAGCGGGTCGGAACACGTGGGGCCTTTGAGCCCGGAACCGGAAGCGGACGCTAGCCCCGCCTCCTAGCGGGGGCTGGAGCCTTTCTAGGCCGTGGGAGGTGTGGTCCACTCGTTATGTCGAGGCCTGGGGCTCTTGTGACACCCACCGGAAAAAGCCTCTCCCGGACCTCTGTCCTCTAAACCCAGCCCCCCTTTGCAGCCAAGAAGTCACCTCCCTGGGCTCAAACTCAGTGCATACCTTGCCCTGGGTTTGTTTCCAGCTGTTTTGTTTGCCTTGTTTTTTGGTATCCCTCCACTAGACCCTTTGCATTATTCTAAGCCTGGAAGAATAGAAGGCAGCTTTGCAGAATACTGGCTCTTGTTTACACTGTCAACTGCTGTAGATAGGGATGTCCACTTCTCAGTGTCTGGCTTGTTAAAGGTACACACTAATATTGTTCTTAGACCTAAGAACTGGAATGTAGTGGAAGATCAGAAAGAAAATGATGTTACTCTCTAGCTTTGAGAGTGAGTGTGTGTGCATGCACACAGGTTCCTGCTTTACTTTGAGACTCTTCCTCTCTTTCCTGATCTCAGTTGTTCATTTTTGTTTGGGTTAGTGACATTTCTGCTCTTTTATCCCATAAGTCACCATTCTGCAGTGACATTGCTGGAAATTCCTTTTAACTTGTTTTGAACTGAAGATGCTTATCACTTGGTGGAGTGACTGTGTAGTCAGGGTTCTCCAGAGAAACAAAATTAATAATGTTAAAATATCCTTGACCAGGGCCTTGCTAAGGCCCATTAAGGGAAAGCTGGTGTTGTTGTGGTACCTCCTGCGACCCCGTGTCCTGTGTCCCCACCCCCCATCCCCATGCTAGCATTCCAGGCTTGCCAAGACGTGAGTTAATCCAGCTGGTTGAATCAGTCACTTGGCTAAAAGATTTCTCCTTGGAAGGTGGATTCATCTAACACCATGCTAAAGAAAAGGGAGGAATAATTATTCTTTAATGAGATAATTCACCCTTTATCCTCTAGAAGGTCCAGATAAGTTATAGAGCCTCCTTAAACCTCTGCTAGGTCTGATGGCCTAGTCCTAATTCAGAATGCTGTAACGTTTCCTTTCTCTTCTTTTTTGTCTATTTTGGGTGCTGGCCAGATACTTTTTCTGTTGCTTTGGGCTTAAAATGAAGAACTTTCTCTAATGCTATTACACCCCCTCCACCCCCACACATCGACTGCTTGCAAATGGTAAGTATGAATGAACATTCCCAGAAGAACAACTATGTCTTGAAACTAAGTGTCAGGACTCAGGTTTGCTTTGCTTAGTGGGGGACCTACTGGCTTCCGGACAGAAGGACTTGATCAGTGACAGAGTCTTAGACCCTGGGACCTGTGTCTTTTCAACAAGCTGATTTATTTTAAAATTCAGATGGTTTTTATACATCCCAAGGACCTAGCAGTCACATGGGATATGGCAGTGACATACAAAAATTTAGGGTACCAAAAAAACAGGATAGTCTGTTAGTTGGTGCCAGAAGGATTCTTAAACTTTTACTCAAGGTTATAATGTCCATCCGGCAATTTGTTGGCCACAATGTTTTCTTTCTTAGAGTTAGAAGCATGGTGAACTTTTAGCTTTTAGTTCAGAAGTAAACCTTTAACCTGGCCTAATCTCTTAGCCAGGGATAGGTGAGTTATTTGTTTAGTACAAGGAGATAAGCTAAGGGTTGTTGACCAAGACGCTTTTCCACAGAGCAGGGAACCTGCACTTATGACCAGGCTGCTTCCTCCTGGCAGTCTCACAGTGTTCTGCAAGACAGGGATTATCAGAGCCACTGTTTTCAGCACCCCTTCCTTTAGCAGAGAATGCAGCCCAGACTTAAAGGTTTTAGGCTCACCTCATCCTAGGGCCTGGCATCCTGGTTTTCTACAACTAAGCCTTCTGCAAGGCTGGTGAACTGATTAGAACTTCAGGGATTAAGGAGTTTGGATTGTTGCAAGTTCAGAGCCTAACTACCATTTATCTTGGGCCATCTTTAGCTCCCTGAATAGCCACTGCTTGCCCACCTCTGTGTCTGAATTAACATCCTGTGACTAACAGATAAAAACCTTTTGGAATGTATTAACTTGGGAGAGCACAAGCTTCCATCAGTCCAAGGTCTAAGAAGCCTGTCAAATAGCTTCTAAAGCAGAGTTCTTCCTACTTTGCTATAATCGACCTTTCTCATGTCTCTACCAATGTATTTAAAAAGTGTCTTGATTTATGGTTTGCTTTATTCTGTTCCTAGAAAGACGTAATGAAACTGTTACCAAGTTGGAACATGGAATTTGGGGTAATCCGAATCTGTGTTTCCAGGCCATGGCCACTCAACTTTAGCTTCAGAATGTATGGAAGAGGAGCCAAGAAGATCACCAACCAGGCAAATCCATGGGAGGGGGTGGGCAGCAGTTTATTTGAGAGCAAACAGACTGCTGGGCTGCCTCTGGGAGAGCAGGGAAACAGTAGCAAGCAGGGCAAGTCAGACATCTTTTATAGACAGTCAGGTAGTTGGGTAACTTTTCATGACGTAGACTAGGCAGTTCAGCTCAGGATTGGTCGGTCTCACAGTGAGTAGCAGGACTTGCCTGGGACTAAGTTTCAATCTGCTGTTTCAGAATATTGCGAGCTGTGCTGCCATTTTAGGAGCCTCCCAGGCACCTAGCATTCCAGCCTTTTGTTGATGATAAGGGGCAATGATGGTCTTTCTTTAGCTACTTACTGCTGGACAGGGATGTCTGCAAAGAGGGGTGCCTCAAAAGGCTAGAACATTGGTCTGGAGTGTGGAGTCAGACTGGCAGGTGGTGGGTGGTAGGGAGATCTGAGGGAATTTGGTTAAGAGCATCTGGTTCACTGACCATTGGTTCATCTCATTGATTCTGTCTTGAGAAAAATTTAAAAGGCATGGAATAATTGTTATTATGAGGAGGATGGATATCAGTGGGCCAAGGAAGGGAAAGGAAAGGCAAGAGTAGTTAGGCACAAACTCTAGGCAAGTAACTAGGAGGAGTCAGAACAGGCTGAATTTTCAAATCAGAGTTTCTAGATGAGGGCTTCCAAAAGCATCCATATACTGGGTTTCTCCTCATTTTTCTTTTGGCTGCCATGGATGGACTCAGGATTTGCTTTTCAGACACTTTGATAATTTTTGGAGTGACTAGAATCACCATGTAATTGTATTCCCAAATGACCTCGAGATAGGGAGAGAAGAAATTTAGCTATCATTTAATTTTTAGATAACAACAGCATTTTTTTTTTCCTTTTGACCACAGGTAGGCAACTGCAGAGTTGATAAGACCAGGATTTGAAGCTTTACTCCTAAGCAGCATTTTCTTAGTTAGAACAAATCATTAATGAGAAATTGTCTAAATAGCATTTTATATGAACTTGAGCCTAATGTCTGGAAAGTTTAACCCTTTGGCATTTAACTCGTTGGTTATACTTTCCTTTTGGGTATTTAAGATCATGTGGTTGGCTCAAATAAACCATTTTATTTTTATTGTTAAGATTGGCTGAGGATCTGTTCATCAGGTCACATGGGCTTGGGAGGAGCCCTGGCTTGTTAGGCCTTTCTTTTACCAGTTCCATCTATGTAAGGATAAGTCAAAGGTCCTACTTGACCATGACTGGCTTCACTTGGAAGCACCGAGGAAATGTTCTCTCTGTGTTGACCCTGCTTTTTGCAGACTAACAGTGGTTTGAGTCCATCAGGTGGGGTCTCCATGGCCTCTCTGAACAAGAAGACAGGTGACTCACCACAGTTACAGGACATTTCAAGAGATGCTCCAAAGTCCCCTGGAACTTAGTTGACCTTGGAGGGCAAGGAACAAAAATGTTGTTCCTTTAAGTCCCTCTGACCAGATTAGCATATGCCTCAAATTATGGTTATTAAACACCCAAGAAGGTTAGTTCCACCAGTCTGGTACTTTAATTACCATGTGCTATGTAGATAAAACTTGGGCAAAACCAAACGTTCTCAGATAAACCTTGACTAGACATATATTTTATTCCGTAAACTAGTTGACTAAACTATGACCTTAGAAAATTTAAGATTATGTGTATATTATTTTTGTCTCATCCTTTATATATCATAAAAGACCTACACAGATCTTCATTACTTGCTTAGGCTTTCTCATTTTTTTCTATTTTGGAAAATATCTCCATTCCCATATCCTTTTAACATCTTTTACATTCTCATTTTCTTTTTTAATAATTATGAGACATAATAACATTAACAAATAAATTTCCCATCTGTTGTGAGAATTCTTTTCCTGGGGATGCTAAGCAATGTTTGTCTCCTTTGAAGGTTCTAGTGTCAAACCAATGTTTGATTCAAGTTTTCCTGGGGAACCAATGATTTACTGAGCTTATACAGAGATGACTGAGGGGTTGCTGAGGTGTATGAGTGACCTGAGGGTATGCACACTGGAAAACCTTTACCCAGCATGGTTCAAGCCTTCTCTTCCCCAGATTATATACCTTAGTCTCCCCAAATCCAGGAGACCATGTGTGATTAGGGCCAAATTACATACAGTTGGTTGGGAAGAGTGGCTAGATAGTCCGGTGAGGGTACAATGACCCTGCTTGGCCCTCCTTTAGTGAAGGAGCACAACTGTCAACAAGTCCAATTGTGACGATGTTTATCAAGCAGGCATCGCTGAAGTTGTGATGATGGTAGTTATTTCACACAGAAGATACTTCTGTACAGCATCTTATTAAAAGAACATGGAATTTAAAAGGATTTGGTGCTAGGATCCACAAATGAGGGAGAACATACATCTTAGGATGTTTTTTTCCAATTATGTAAAGAACGTCATGGAGATTTTGATTGGCATTGTACTGAATCTCTAAGTGGCTTTTGGTAGGATGGTCATTTTCACAATATTAATTCTTCCAATCCATGAGCATGGGAGGTCCTTCCATCTTCTGGTGTCTTCAACCTGGAGACACTGTTTAATAGATTTTAAAATAATTAGGGTACCCATTTATAAGGCCTTTGAATGTATCATCAAAATATTTATAAATTTGTACATGTGTATTTTGATTAGGCATGCCAAAAATAAAACCAATAATTCTTGTGCACAATAAAATAATGAGAAAGGAGGAAAACCTAAAGTGGCCACAGTTGAAAAATTGTCTTGACACAAACAATGCAAGAACACAATTATCATAGACACACGTAACACAATTACATGAAATCTAGGTGCACCAAAGAGTAGGAGAAAACAGAAAGCATATATGTCAGCTGTTTGATATCTGAAAGACTTAATGGTCTAAAAGGGTTAAGTTTGCCATGTAGATTAAAGGTAGTATCTCTCTGTGATGGGATTAAAAGATTAGAATTTCTTATCATAAACCAAGTTCTAAGTATTACAGGTTTTGAAAGAGAAGATTAATATTCAATGTTTCTTACAGTGGGAGATATGAAACTTTACATATGAAACCTAGCAAAGTTTTAAGTTATTAGCATAACGTAAGTCAAAGGAGACATAAAAGACAAAAAGGAAACATTAAGACATCTGGGTAAGTATAAATAAAATCTAAATAGCACTCAAAATAATTCCAGTTAGAAACAGGTTAAAATAATTTTAAAATTTAAACTCCCGTTGTGGCATTACTTCCTTAGTCTGATATAAAAATGCATTGACTTTGTTACAAGACAATAGGAACGATTAAAATCTCTTGCTTTTCTATGATCCTGAAACCAAAACAAAAATTGTAAGAGGATTAGGACATGTGATTGAATGTCTGCAGTCCAGGGAATTACCAAGTAATCTTTAACACCTAGACCTCAGTAGTACTGATACGTTCCTGGTGGCTCCATTTTGAATTATGCCATGTGGTTGAATTAAGACAGTGGTAAGTTCACACAGGTCACTGCCATTTTGAAAATGTTACTGTCCAAATGTCAACAAAGCCATGTGACTGGCCCCATATTGATGTCATCAACCAAGATGGAGACCAGGTCGTATGGTTGCCTCCCTCTTGGTGAGATCAGTAGCCATGATGGTGACCAGGCCAAATGGCCACTTAGTGAGCTCAGTTCCATGATAAAATAAGCCTATAACCCACCAGGATACAAACCCTGTGGGATTCACATGCCTCACAGATTAAATGTGGAGAGCAACCTTTTTTTAATTTTAGAAAGCACCCAGTTTAGACTTGATATAACAAGAGAAATTACCATCAGATATATATAGGCCCAGTAGGAAAGCAAAGCAAAGACACCCATAGTCTCAAACTAAGGAAAGGAGTCCATGTCTCTCACCAGCCAGCAGCTAGGAATTCTAAGCAATGTCCTCTGGATCTCTTCATTTTTAGATACAGGCTGTTACTAGAACAGAAACTTGTGAGGGCAGCATAAAAATTGGGGAGGTATGTCCAGCACATAAATCATTGGGTTGTTGCTCTGAAAGCATATGTCTTGCCAGAGCATGGCCTGTGATTTTCCATGTGTGTGAAATTTAAAATGCTTAGATCTAGTTAGAAAAGTAGCCTTCTTGGGACCACATGGTCTGAACACTGCTTGCTTGGTGCCCCTCTGATCATTTTCCTTTTCCCCTGAAAGCCTGAGAAAAAGTTCAGGAAAGAAATGGCTTTTAAAACCTTGGCAAGTGGTTTTGCAGCCTCAGATGCCCGAGGCAAGATAGCAAGATAGATAAAGACATTCACCTGAGGAATGCAGGTGGAATAAGGAATACAGAGCACTTATAAAAAAATTTCCATATGGCCAACAAATAAGTTATTAGAATTTTGGGGTCCTTATGGTCACCTAGATGACACAGGGAGAAAGAGTGTCCCCTAGAGGGTTCTTGGTCTTATTTATAAAGAATTTCCCCAAACAGAAGCTTTAGGATAAAGCCATGAGGCAATGCAGCTTTATAGGCTGCATGTAGGTCAGACACGTGGCAGATTGCCAGTCAAATGGTTGGGAGAAGAAAGCTTTAAAGAAAGGTAAAGAAGTACAAGATGCTGGACAACCTCAGGTGTTAATGAAAGCATGTTTAGTGGGAAGCGCCTATAGCTTCTGAGCCACCTAAGTTTGTAGAGTTCTTTCCAAGTCCAGGATGAGAAAGAAGAGGGCAAGGTCTTCCCAGGGAAGCAGCAGCCATGAGAGGCATCCCTGTCACAATTGCTGCTCCCAACGAGAAAAGAGCCCAAGTCGCTTGTCAAGGCATCCCAAGGACAAGCAAGGGGAAGTCCCCAGCAGGGCGTGGGAAGATGTTTAGATACCAGTAAACTCTGGAGAGAAGGGAAGACCTCCAGGCAGGAAGGCAGAGAAAGAAGGGAGAGTGAGAGACTGAGAGTAGAGGGAGCAGAAACAGAGAGAGAAAGAAGGCAGAGAAGTAGATCTGTAGCTCTGTGGGAGAGCACTTACCTAAATGCTGTCAGAGGGTGAGTGGGGCAGGAAAGCAGATGGACTCATGATCTCCGGCTTGATGTGGTGAGTGATGGGAGCCAGCATGGTCCATATCACAGGCAGGAGCACTGGGTCAGCAGTTTGGTTGGGTAAAAGGGAACTGGGTCATAATTAACCCAGGCATTCTCCTCCCAGGTTTTGGCACCATATGCATGGAAGAGTAGTCGAGAAGACCTAGGCAACTCCACAGGGAGGTGGGCAGCAGTTTAAGAGCAAACAGACTGCTGGGATGCCTCTTGGGGAGCAGGGAAACAGCAGTAGAGAAACAGCAGCGAGCAGGGGAAGTCAGATATCTTTTATAGGCAGTTAGGTGGTGATAGGTAGAGAATGGGCGGGAGCGAGCGGCACGGATGGAGAGCATGAGCGGATGGATGAAGGCACCGAGGCACAGATGGAATTCTCAGTGGGACACAGATTTATTTCGCACGGGGCACCTTTCCCTCGGGAAGGGAAAGATGTCCGCGAAGGGAAAGATGTCAGTGAAGGGAAAGATGTCAGCCCACAGGCTGTGAGCTGGGACTTTACATAAGGGAAGGGAAGGATGTCCGCTCACGAGTTGTGAGCTGGGACTTTAGATATGGGGGCTTTAGGGTGTGGAATCAGGGAGGGGGAAGCAGGTAGGATTAGGGTGTGGAAGTGTTTACTTTTTCCCTCTTAAGATGAGAGAAAAACAGCTTCTACGATCTCTGGTTATCAGGTAGAATCTGCTTATCCTATCTTTGGAGATTAGAGGAGAGGCAGGCTGCTTCGCAGCAGAGTTTGTTTTCCTTGACTCCAAAGGTCAAGGTGAGGTCCCTGTTGGGGAGTGGGTGGAGCTGCTATTTGGAACCCTAACAGGTGGCTGGGTGACTTTTCAGGATGTAGACTTGGCAGTTCAGCTCAGGATTGGTTGGTCCTCCAGTAAGCAGTGGGATTTGCTGGGGGCTAAGTTTGAACCTACCGTTTTAGAATATTGTGAGCTGTGCTGCCATTTTAGGAACCTGCCAGGAACCTAACACAGAATACACTGTCTCTTGTCCCCTTTGAGGTGAGAGTTGTGCTTTTTGGGTTGACACAAGGCTTTCTCTCTTCCTTTTCTCCATCTTCCTCCTTCAGGCAACTGCTGGAAGGGCATTTACCCTGGGATTTTTCTCTTAAATGCTCATAAAGTTGTCCTTAAATTTTCTTGAGTCCATTCTTAGATTCTTTTATTAATAAGACTAAGAACCCTGAGCGAGAACCCCAATTTCCCCAGTAACAACAAAATATATAGAGACACTAAAGAACCTTTATTGTGGGAATTGGCTCTTGCAATTATGGAGGTTGGGAACTCACTGACATATCTGGGATTGAGGACTGGAGAACTAGGAAGTTTCTGGTATAATTCAGGCTAGGTTGAAGACCTGAGGAAGATAGGGGAAGGTAGGGTATTGTTATACACTCTGGATTCTTCAAGTGAAAGAATCAGGTTCTCTGTTATCTGTGGGCAGGAACAGATGGATATCCCAGTTCGGGGGTAGGAGGGGGTGGGGCATCCTCCAATTCTCAAACCTCTGCAATGTGGATGTCATGAAGTTTGGTCAAAGGCAATGGTTCTCTAAGTAATGAACCCAGACCATACCTGTACTCAGGAAAAGCTCACCCTTCACAAAGACTGTGGGGGTGGGGCCCAGAGTGCTCTGTCATCAAGAAGCCTTTCAGGTGTGTCAAGTTTGATATCTACTACGTGGGCAAAGGAAGTAAATTTGAGGTTCCATGCAAAGAGAAATGAACTTTTGCAGTGATGTCTGTATTAAGGGGAGGAGAGTACAGGAAAAGCAAGGAGTCTAGAAGCATTTCATGTTTATGTCTGTTAAACTGCATTATCACCTGTACAGTCTGTAATGCTGGAGTCCCTCCTATTGAAACAAATGTTGCTGTGACCTTGAACAATTGTCTCCTGAAATTAAAGACAGAGTGTAAAAAGGGTGTAGTTGGAGGAGAAAGGAGGAGAGTAGGAATCACAGAATCTGGTCTTAGCAAGAAAAGGATCTCTACTTTCCTCTAACCCTGTCACCTTCTTGTGATAGACAGGAATAGCAGAAAGTTAACCAAGAAGGTCAGTCACATAGTACTTTTCACCAACAAGCCTCCCATGGTCATCCTACCACCTCTCTGAAGTAGATTTCTGGATCAAGGCCTACCAGGCAGCTTGGAAGAGAAATTGAAGAGATGAGGGGTGGGGGAGGTGGGGAGTGGGGCATGGGGGTATTTTCCACTGCCTTTTTCATTCCATTCAGCCCTGGATTGGCTAAGACCCATTCACATTGGTCAGGGTCAATCTTCTTCACAGAGTCTCCTCATTCAAGTGCTAATATCTTCCTGATACACTCTTCTAGACATACTTACAAGTAATGTCTTACTAATTATCTGCATGTCTCAGCCTGGTCAAATTGACACAGATTTCTCCACTCCATCACTTTTTCCCTCTTTTTTTAAAATTGAATTTTCATGAATTTCATGCAATATATTTATACTGTATTTAGACCCCCTCTCCTATCTGTAGCTCCCTGCCTAATTTCATGCAATAATAAGCAACCTTAGCAGGTACCTTATAATTATCTAACAAAAGAATTGCAGTAGCTACCCCACTGGGGCCTATAACTTCCCTTGCTATAGGGGTTGTCCTGTCTTGCAGTACTAGATGTGTGTTCTTCCCCTAGGAGCAGGGAGCAAGCCTTAAATAGAATTGGACATTTGTTGGTTGTTCATACACTAGTTGTGCCACAATTGCATTGGTAGGCACAACTTGCTTTGCATGTTGAAAGTGTAGCATGTTGGGTCTCTCATTAAACAAGATTGTTAGGGACAGTTCTCCCCTAGCCATCTGCAAAGTGCCTCTGGAACCATGAATTCCAACCACTCAGCTTAGTCCTAGCTCAATTTCTCCTTTTCTTGTACTCATATAATGTAGTGTCTTCAGTAATAGTGTCTTACAGTCTAATTCTGGCATGCAACCAACATTATTGGCAATACCCTTTATCATTTGGGGGCCTTTTGGGGCTCCTTGGCCAACAGCCCATAGAAGGGCAACCCATCTCTGGCACTGGGATTTTCATTTAATAATCATATGGTTTACAGGTCCAGGTTGTTGTACACTTTTCCTGTCCACTTTGGTGGGTATCACCTGTGCCTGACACAAGCATAAAGCTCCTAAGAATTTCAGAGCTGCACCTGGCCCTTGTACTCTTTGTGAATTTATTTTCCATCCGTGTATCTTCATGTGTACTTGACTATCTCTCAAATGGGTTACCACATCTGCAAAAATACTCAGAGGTTAACATTATGTCATTTTATGTACTGAAACCTTTTTCCCTAGAATGAGCAAGATAGCAATGCATCATCCTGAACCATCATTTCATACTGAATAGCGGAGTTACAAAGATAACCTTCATGAAACACTGAAAGTCTGTTGTCCTCTGTTCCAAGCAAGTGTCAGGTGATTCCAGAAATTCAAAAGTAAGAAGAAACTAAATAAAACATAAACAAGGTCTAATACCAATCTCGAGGTCCCTGCTGAATTAAGATCTATTTTAAATCTCTGGTGAACTCAGTCTTATCTATCCCAGTGAACTGGGCATCATACATTGCTTTCCTCATGCCTCATCCCTTCCGTTGTGCCTGTCTGTCCTCTGTTGTCCTCCAACCAGTAATAGCCATGGGAACCTTCACTGGTGATGACCAAATATCTCTAATGGTACTAACAAGCCAGTCCATCAGGGACTGATTCCTCCTGTACTGCCTCAGGTTATGCGGCTTGTGTCTCAAAGTGGTTATATTACTCAGCTTCTTTGCTTCTGCAGAATTTGAACTAATTCCATTTGTCCCCGTGTTCCAAAGCCCCCCAAGCCAGGTGGTGAGGGGCTCCATCGCTTGTTTGAATGTCTTCCCTAGTTCCAATAGCTCCAGGGCTGACTGTTCTCTGACTACCATAGTCACCTGCACCAGGATCATTGTTAAGACTTCTGTCAGCATGCTGGATCATGGATTTTCCTTTCTTTGTATTAAAGGTCAAACCCAAGGGACATCTTGTACCATCTCTTGGTTGTTCTCTTTCTCATCACTACCTGCTTCCTCCTTCCTTTCAGGGTATGACAGTTAACAAGCTGAGCTGTGATGGTCCTAAGTAAGAGGGCCCAAATGAGCTTGGGAAGATAGCCCCTGTCATCTATCTGTCAGAGGCGATCCTCTACAACATATCACTTTAGGTTTTCCTAAAATTGAGTATCATACCAAGGTGATAGTTTTAACATATTATCAAATAGAACTCTAGTTCATTTTAGACATTTCTGAAAGGCCATTAGCATTGATAAGGAAAAATTACTAAAGTAATAGGACTGAGAAATCAAGGTGTGGGCTGCCTTATCCTTTGAACAAGATACAGTTGTCATTCAAAGAATATTAAAACAGGATCCTTTATATATATTAAAACTTGCTGACATTTGTCTCTGACTTTGGTAATTTATACTTTTAACTTATAATTAAGGAAGTGCCAAGTTCTATTTCATGAATTTTAGGAAATCCTAAGACTTTCTTGGTGGATAATTAGATGGTTTTTCTTCCTTCTTTAAGGAAAACTCCCATATCATTTATATGGAACAAATTTTTGTTTGGGATCCTAACCATCACGGTTTATTGTCATATATTTATCTTGGGATAATACTAAACTAGAACTTGCAGTATTTAGGGGGAGACTGTTTTGTCAAACTTCTCTACAATCTTGTCTCATAATTTCTGAATTAATGACTACACTAAGCTCATTTTGATATATTTCACTTTTGTGATGAGTCTTTAGACAAGTCATTGCTTTTCTTAGAGCTCCTTTTACTTCCTTGTTTCTAATGGTATAAATGAAGGGATTGAGAAGGGGTGTGAGGATGGTATTTAGCACAGATACCACCTTATTAATCTTAAAGGAGGAATGTGCTGTGGGTCTCAAGTACATGAACAAAACAGCTCCATAGAGCAGAGAAACAACTATTAGATGAGAGGCACAGGTAGAAAAAGCCTTTTGGCGGCCGGTGGCTGAAGGAATCCATAGGATAGTGGTTAGGATGTAGATGTAAGAAGTGATTGTAAAGAGGAGTGACCCTGGGATCACAAGTATGGTTGCCAGGAGACCTAAGAGTTCCAAAATGCTAGTGTCTGCACAGGCAGCTTTCAAGATGGGACCAACATCACAGTAGAAATGGTTGATGACATTGTTGCCACAGAAAGGTAACTGAATAAGTAACATCGTTTGACAAAAGACAATGGTGAAGCCTGTCAGCCAGGAGCTGAGAGCCAGCTGCAGGCAGAGGTTGCTGGTCATGATAGAGGGGTAGCGAAGGGGCTGGCAGATGGCCAGATAGCGGTCAAAAGACATGGCAGCAAGGATCAAGAATTCAGTGGTGCCCAGGAAGAAGTGGAAGAAGGCCTGCAGTAGGCAGCAGGCAGTGCAGATGACCGTCCTTGATACAACAAATGTTTCTAGCAGTTTGGGGATGATGGTGGTGGTGTACCAGATCTCTAGAAAGGCCAAGTTGCAAAGGAAGAAGTACATTGGAATTTGAAGCCTGGGCTCAACCCACACAATAACAATAATGAGTCCATTACCTGCAACGGTTAATATGTAGATGAGAAAGATCACTATAAAAAGAGGGGCTTGTAAGCCTTGGATACCTGGGAAGCCTAGGAGGATGAACTCTGTGATTTCAGTGTCATTTCTCATGTCTCTTGAAAAACCCTAGAAAGGCAGCAAAAGAAGTGCTCTTAGAATCGTATAATTAAGTTTTTAGTGATGAGATCTTAGTTCTTTACTATTTACCTTTCTAGTTTATGTTTAGATGTATATCTTACCAAGCACAGGAGGGTGGGTTTTAAAAACGGTTTGCTCTTCACTGATAGTTATTCATTCTTTCATCCATTCATTCTGTTGTGCTGGTAACCTCACTCAAGGCTTTGTGTATGCCAGACAAACCCTCTATCAATGAGCTACAGTGCCAGACTCCTGCCTAGAATTTGAAAGTACAGTCAAGTCCAGTTGGAACAACAGAAAGGTTTTATTTAAGGTCCCTCAGGAACTGAGTATATTTCAGTTCCCTCCTCTTCCACATGTGCGTGCACATGAGGCATGCCTTCCTTTCTGATGATTTGGCTGGTTCTTTGGGTAGCTAAACCAGCTTTAAAATTATTTGTTACACTTATTGTATGTGTGCTTGCATGTGCACACACTTGTATGCGTGTATGCATATGCATGACACAGAACATGTGTGGAAGTCAGAGGACAGCCTGTGGAATCCATGTGAATTTCAACAATCAAGCTCAGATTGTCAGACTTGTTGGGAAACATCTCTATCCACTAAGCCATCTCGATGGCTCTAAACAAGCTTTTGTTAAAAATTTTTTTTAAATTTATTATTTTTATTTTATGTGTATGAGTATATTGCCTGCATGTAGGTAAGTGCACCCGTGTTGTGCAATGCTTTTTTAAAAATTTGTTTTTTTTGAATTTTTGAGTATTTTATACAGAATATCTCAAAGAATCTTAATCATCTTTATACTCCCATCCCCACCAGCACGCTCCCACAGTGCCCCCACTGGAACCCATATACTCTGTCGTCTGTATTAAGGCCCAATGTGTCAAGTCAGTGTCCTGAGACATTCCCCTGTACAAGTCCATCCACTGAGGTCTAGTCAGCCTATCTAGAGTCTCTTATTTTAGGAAGATCAGCTCTTCCTCACCCAGCAGTAATCAACTACCAGTGGTTCCTCGGCTAAGATTGGAGTCTGCTGTTCTTTTCCCCAGTTCTATGCTGGGTTTTTGTCTGCCCTGAGTTCGCATGGGACTTTTGTATGCTGTAATGCCACATTCTCTCCTGGGAGGCCTGGGTGTGTGTGTGCTCTTTCTCTTTGCTTTCAGTTCCTCTGTGAGGCATACCACACCCTTCACAGCTCCCAGGCCCCATGCTGTCTTTATGACCAACTGACAAAATTGACACAATGTCCCTCTAAGCTATAGTTTGGGTAATAAAGATATTTATTTGGGCTTGCCAACAAAGCTTATGCTATCCAGGAAGGGGTCACTTACAAAGGCATGGATGCCATGGGTTCTTTCTCCTACATCTCAACTGAGCTTTGGAAATCCATGCTTGCCTGAGTACTAGCCAGGATGGTGACTTCTCCTGTCTCCCTGGCTTCCTGAGTCTGTTCTTAGGCACCCCTCCTCATGCAATTGAAGCTCACTGATTAGGTGGGAGGGGTGACTGTCTCCCCCTCTGTCTATGGAGTCTCTTAGGTTTCAGACATTCAGATGTTAATGGTTCTTTTGGGGGATACACCTATCCAACATATGCTGACCGCATTGTAATAGAATTATATGAGCAAGATCCCAGGAGCTTGTAGGACTCTGTTTCCATATGGTCCTGCTCCTCCTTCCTGGCTCTTAAACAATCTTTCTGTCCCCTCTTCTGTGATGGTCCCTGAGCCCTGGAATTTGAAAGTATTAAGTATACTTGACAAATGATAATGTTTTATAAACCCTTATATAAAAATATTTTTAAACTGTAATAGTTTATCTGTCATTAATATGTACAATGATTTAAAATGAATATTGGATAGTTTATACATGCATGTGAACATAACTATGAGTTTGTGAGAAATTAATCCCTATGCCTATATTATATTCTGAAAGAATTGCCTTTTGGGTACTGGGGATTGAACTTAGGGCTTTGTATATATTCAAAAGTACTCTGCCCTGAACTATATCCCTAGCACAGACTTTAGATTATATTACTGATATGATTAATGAAATCCATATTATTTGTGTATATAAACGTAATAAAAATGTTGTCATATTAGTGGTTAAATACAACTTTGAACAAATGCCTTTTTGTTTTCTTATTTCTCTTTCTTTTTTGTTGGAGGATGTTCTGGATAGCTTTCTATTGCTGTAGTGAAAACAGTGACCAAAACCAGCTTGGGGAGGAAAGAGTTTATTTTATCTTATTTTTCCAAGTGAGAGTTCATCACTGGGGGAAGTCAGGTGCTCAAGGCAGGAACCTGGAGTTAAGAACTGAAGCAGAGAACAGAGAGGGATGCTGCTTACTAGCTTGCTCCCATGGTCTGTACTCAGCCTGATTTTTTTTATGCAACCCAAGACCACTTGCTCAGGGATAGGACAAAACCCACAGTGGGCTGGGCCCACCCATATCAGTCAACCATTAAAAAAATGCCTCACAGACTTAACCACAGGCTGATCTGATAGAGGAAATTCCCCAATTGAGGTTCCCTCTTCCCTGGTATGTCAAATTGACAACTGAAGCTAGGCAGCACAGGGAGGGAAGGGGACTGAGACAGGGTCTCCTAGCCTGAACTGACTAGGACTTTACTGTGTTGCTCAGGCTGGACTTGCACATTCTTCTGCCTCTGTCTACTGGTGCTGTGATTATAGGCATGCACTACCATGCCTGGCTTTAGAACAGATGTTTGCTAATGAATCCACTTCCCCATTCTAAGTCAGACAGATTCTTTTAAGAAGGCTAAATAAAACTTTACAAACTAAATGAGCAAAGTGTTTAGGAAGCCAAAAAAGGACTTAAAGGGAGCTAGAGAGATGGCTCAGTGGTTAAGAGCACTGACTCTTTTTGCAGAGGACCCAGGTTCTGTTCCCTACACCCAATGGCGGCTAACAACTGTCTGTAACTCCATTTCTAAGGGATCTCATGCTCTCTTCTGGCCACCTTGGACAGTGCACGTGTGGGTGCACTTACATACATGTTGGCAAAACACTCATAAAAATAAAAATAAATAACATTTAAAATGCACTTAAAATTCTAAGACTGGTCATTTGATATATAGAAATATGTAGTAAATGTACGTTAGATAAAGATCTGTGGATATTAACCCAAAAAAGGTGAAAAGATAAGCAAATGCTCACAATATAAACTAGAAATCATGAAAGGGACATTTCTATCAAAACCTTCCTTTGTGACTATATATATATATATCAAACATTTCTCTCTGTATGTGCAAATTTATAGACTGAGAACTTATCTTTTAGTTCTACTAACATTTACTAGGAAACAGTAAAATGACATTCTTGCAAAAATTACCATTTTCCTTTGAAATGGGTTATTTTTATGAGTGTTTTTCCTACATGTATGTGAAATGAACTGTAAAATGAATTGTACAGATCTCAAAGTGAACAGAAAGCAGTGTGAGTGGGGCAACATATGGTTTGTTGGCAGGTTGTTTGATTCTCCCCTTTGTGAGTGTACACTGAGAGGTTAGGGACACAGGTACTTCCATTTCCTCTTGCCTCTTTTCTAACCAAGAAGAGATTATTGTACATAATGTGACAAGCTCCAAGACTCTCCATGAAATGATGAGGAGAGAGAAATTTTTGACTTTGGATTAATGGCCAGTGTAACTGGCCATCTGGTTAACCTCAGGTGAATATGGAATTGCCTTCATTTCCTATGTAGAGGACAGTGGCCATCTCTTTAGCACAATACAGATTTTCCAGGTAATAAATGTTATAGCACACTAGACAGGAAATGCTATCTCTGTTCTGTTCCAAGCTTCACCAGATCGCCTGACTACAGCTCACTTAATGCTATCTTGAGATTGTGCCATTTTGTTTTTCTTGGCTCTCCTTTGCAATAAAGAATCTTTTGCCCTTTGTTTAAATTTTTCATAGTCTTAAGTAAGAAGAAAAGAAGTCGAAGGAGGAGGAGGAGGAGGAGGAAGAAGAAGAGGAGGAGGAGAAGGAAGGAGAAGCAAAAAGAAATGTCAATATATACGAAGGAGGAGGAGGAGGAGGAGGAAGAAGAGGAGGAGGAGAAGGAAGGAGAAGCAAAAAGAAATGTCAATATATTTACTTCTTTTTGATTTGGGTTCAAGTTTAAAAAAAGTCCCAAGTCTTGTTTATTTCCTTGTTTTGTTTTTGAATTGTTGACAGAGACAGATTTAGGTTTTTTAAAATGTTGGTTATGGAGTAAATTTGAAGATTCCCAAAATGATGGAACCTTACAGCACAGACACCACATAGTACACATTCCACAAAGGGAAATAAATTAGAATTACTACTTGGAGGTTGATACTTTATTTAAGGTAGAACTTGAATAAAGAGCTAGTTTGAAATCTACTCCAAGGATTGAGACCTCTGGTAAGGTACAGGGGATAAAGACCACTTGCATTTAAGGATGTCGAGGTCATTTTTTTTGTGATTTTTGTAAATGAGACTGAAATTCATTTATTAGTATCTGCTGAAAGATATCCACATATCAAAACTAATTGTATTTATACATTCTAGAGAAAAACTAAACTTTATCCCAAATGATGCTCTTATCTCTTCTCTGTAGCCAAGAGATACTCACAGCACTGAGGGTTCCCAAGAAAACACTTCTGGTCCACAGGTAGAATGAAAAGAGAAGAGTCTTGTTAGAAGCCAGTCTAACTGAAACAGAAAATGTTTCTTCTGCTTTCTCCAAAAGAAAAGGAATTCCTTTCTAGAACCTAAGGCAAGCACCTTTCTGCAGCATTTAATCTATTCATAAATAGTTAAAGAAATGGAAAAGTGCTTTCAGTGTTTAGAAGAACTGTACTGAGTGTGATACACGAATCAGTTCATGCTAGGTCAAGTTTTCTTCCTTGAAAATAATAACTTGTCAGTGGGGCACTTCTCTAGCTTCTCCTGGGACTTCAGTCTCCAAGGGTGTGTTTCAGGGAGTCCCAGGAGCCTAGAAGTTCTCACTTTAT